TTGAAGTGAAAAGCTATATTTTTAATCATGGAATTTATAGATTATATTTATATTCACTCTCGTTTATTGTTTTATGTTGAATGTACTTAACAAAACATATATTATTTGCAATTATACAACTCATTTATTTATCTACTATAAGATAAATTTTATGGTTGTTAATTATACAGGGTGTTGCGCAATCACCACCCCTAACCTTTTAAAGCCAATGACTGGGAACTCAATTATTTCTTTATTGAGTTTTTCTTCTGAGAACAAGATTCTGATTTAAACTTTAATACATTAATAATACAAACATCTATGTTTTTTCAAAGGATAGCTACATACATTCGATGGACTTAATTTCTTAGAGGAAATAAAGGAGCATTAAACGATTAAAAAAATTGCAAGTATTTGATAATTTCGCATTTTTTAAATTAAATATTCGCCCTCGAAAAAGGCATAAAAAGTTGAAGATTAAATGAACAGTTTCGAAAAAACTGTTTTGGAATGAAAACTTTCTCACATGACATGAACACATGACACTGGATAATAAAACATGAATAAATATTTCCTAATAATTCCCTTATATTTAATGTAAGTCAATTACTTATTCAAAACCATTTTGAACATAGGTTTAAATTAATTTCTTCAGCAAAATTAGTCTTCTTAACACTAGAAAGACTGAAACTTAGCCTATATTGCCCAAAAGCAGCCAAAATGACTGGATTGTTAGAGAATAACTAATGTGTAAAGAAATTTGTTTAAAATTAATTTTTAATATTTTTATATTATTTACAGCTATATAATAAGTTATTAGAAAAATATTAACAATAAAAAAATTATATGTTGTACAAAAATTCACAAAATTCTTAGAAATTGATTCAAATTAGACAAAATTTTAATTCTTAGATTCAAATTAGAATTGACAAAATTCTTAGAAATTGAATTCTTAGATCATTTTTTTTTTTCTAATTGAAATTAAAAAGCAGTCAAAATGCCATCCTTGGGCAATCTAGTATTAAAGTAGTGAAGTAGATACTAAATTACAAAGTAGTTTGCAATCACTACATCCACAAAAAAGTAATTGTAGTTAATTACATTTGTAACGAAGTAGTAGTTAACTACAAAAATAATGAAGTTTCTCCAACAACTGCTAAATATCCATCATCAGTTTACTTGTGAAAATTAAATGATAAGTATAAAGCATATTTAGGATCCTTCCTACCCTTTCCCTTCCTGCCCTTCAACAGTTGAGTTTGGTCGGAAAAGGAAGGGCCTCTTAAAGTGACCTCATACACCCAGTTACAGTTTTATGCTTTTGCTTCGGATATTTTTTAGAAGTACTCAAGTGGAAACATGATTTAAACATTCTTTTCAGTAACCTTGCTGCAACGTTTTAATTTTTTTCCTGTAACTAACTCGGTAGTAAATCGGAATGCAGGATGTATACAGTGCTTTAACGACCGGCCGAACTCAACTGAATGCAGGATGCATACAGTTGAGTTCGGTCGGAAAAGGAAGGGCCTCATAAAGTGACCTCATACACCCAGTTACAGTTTTATGCTTTTGATTCGGGAATTTTTAAGAAGTACTCAAGTGGAAACATGATTTAAAATTTTTTCAGTAACCTTGCTGCTACGTTTTAATTTTTTCCTGTAACTAACTCGGTAGTAAATCGGAATGCATGATGCATACAGTGCTTTAACGATCGGCCGAACTCAACTGAATGCAGGATGCATACAGTTGAGTTCGGTCGGAAAAGGAAGGGCTTCTTAAAGTGATCTCATACGTCCAGTTACAGTTTTATGCTTTTGCTTCGGGAATTTTTTAGAAGCACTCAAGTGGAAACATGATTTAAACATTCTTTTACGTAACCTTGCTGCAACGTTTTAATTTTTTTCCAGGAAATAACTCGGTAGTAATTCGGAATGCAGGATGCATACAGTGCTTTAACGATCGGCCAAACTCAACTGAATGCAGAATGCATACAGTTGAGTTCGGTCGGAAAAGGAAGGGCTTCTTAAAGTGACCTCATACGTCCAGTTACAGTTTTATGCTTTTGCTTCGGGAATTTTTTAGAAGATATGGAAGCATGATTTAAACATTCTTTTACGTAACCTTGCTGCAACGTTTCAATTTTTTTCCAGGAAATAACTCAGTAATTCGTAATGCAGGATGCATACGGTGCTTTAAAATTTTAAAAGTGGTATTAAAAATTTTGCGGGTTTGAAGCTATTTTAACAGTAATTACCACAATGCTCCGGAGAAATAAACATTGACTCGAAGTCTGCAGTTTTGTTTAATTTAATTCGAAAGTGAAAGCTTAATAATAGTAAATTTACAACTTAGGTGCAATTCAATTGTATCACTAATTTTGTTTTTTAAGTCTCATGCTGACCCTGGTAGAGGCTTAGATAAATTTTAAATTTATTGTCAAAAATGAAGTAAAAAAAAGTGCATTCATTAACAATACCCAATATCTACAATAAAAAACAAAAACAATATTGAGAGTCGCGGTGGCTCAAGGGACAGAGTGCTCACCTCCCAGTGATGTGACCCAGGTTCAAATCCCAGTGTTAGGTTATCGATACGAATTCTGCTGCAGGCTCGCACCGAACACAGAGCTGAAATAAAATATCGCCAGTTGTAGACGGATGAGTTATACTTTTTTTGCCATTGGCTGACCGTGGGAAGTTTTCGTGGTTTTCCTCTCTCTGCAAAGCAAATGCGGGTTAGTTTCATCAAAAAGTCCTCCAGAAAGACTCATTTGTTCTAATAATTGATCCAGAAGTTCCCTTGTTTTCTGGTTTTGGTTTTAAACTGGCAGCGGAGTTGAATTAATACCTCCTAGAAGAGAGAAGGCCTCAGCATAACAAAACCATAAACAAGAAATTGTATCCTTTAGTAGTTCAAATGTAATTACATCTTCCGTATTTTCCCCCACTGTGCAACCTCATAGCCTGAACGTAGTAACGTCTTTCTTATTTCCTCCACTGCGTAGTTTATGTTTGTTGCTTCGGGCTACTGAGTTTTATAATCGTCGTTGAACAGCCGACCTTAGTTTGGGTTTACGACTACTAATGGTTGTTCTTTTTGGTTGTTTAAAGGTTGTTCTTTTCTACGATGTGAATAAAATTTAGAGGTTTTAGGTAGCTTTTAATAAAAATTATTTTAACTTTTTATAAAGCTGTGAGAAGTATACTTTTCACAAACTTCATTAATACTTAGATGTCGATGGGAAGCTATTTTCTCACTTATGATTTGTGCTGCCATCTGCTGAAAACCTCCGGGAAAGAAAAACCGAAACCAATGAAAAGAAACGAAACCAATTGTTAAGATAAATGCGGGTAAGTTAACGTAATGTCAAGAAAAGAAACTAACTCTAGGTAGCTATAGTTTCTACTGAGCGTTATGTATCATTCGATCGTTTCTCATTAAGTTCATTTATAGCTGTAATTACGGAATTTATTAATTTGGTTATATATAAACATAGAAGTTGTTTATTATTCAGTTATTTATAAGCATGGAAGTTGCTTATTATTCAGTTATTTATAAGCATAGAAGTAGTTTATAGTCAATTCTTTACATTAGGACATAAACTTCTTCTATGCTTAAAAATTGCCTTTATTCTTCACAAAACTCTCTCTCAAATTTTCAACAAAAAAATTGCCTTGAAAATCAAACTGAATTTAGATAATAGGCGAAATAAATTTCTTTTTATAATTCAATCTGATTCACAAAAATATTTTAACGAAATATTATCAAATTTAACTTTAATATGGAAAAATGGCTCTACTAAGGTTAAAGGATTGATTTATAAACATAGACGTTGCTTATTATTCAGTTGTATATAAGCATAAAAGTTGCTTATTGTTCAGTTGTTTATAAGCATAGAAGTAGTTTATAGCCAATTATTTGCATTAGGACATAAACTTCTTCTATGCTTATAAATTGCTTTTATTCTTTACAAAATTCTTTCTCAAATTTCCAAAAAGAAAAAAAAATTGCCTTGAAAATCAAACTATATTTAGATAATTAGCGAAATGAATTTCTTTTTATAATTCAGTCTGATTCCAAAAAATATTTAAACGAAATTTTGATAAATTTAACTTTAATATGGAAAAAAATGGCTCTATTAAGGATAAGTGATTGATTTATAAACATAGAAGTTGCTTATTATTCAGTTATTTATAAGTATAGAAGTAGTTGATGGCCAATTCCATACATTAGGACAGAAACTATTTCTATGCTTATTAATTGTTTGCATTCTTTACTAAACTCTCCCTCAAATTTCCAACAACAAAAAAGATTTCCCTGAAAATCAAATTAAATTTAGATTTTAAGCGAAATGAATTCATTTTTATAAATCAATCTCATTCCCAAAAATGTTTTAAGGAAGCATTATTAAATTTAACCTCAATAGGAAAAAATGGGCCAAGTAAGATTAAAGAATGCCTTTTTATTTTATTTTATTTTATTTTATTTTATTTTATTTTATTTTATTTTATTCTATTCTATTTTATTTTATTTTATTTTATTTTATTTTATTTTACTAATTTTATTTTACTTACTTTATTTTATTTTATTTTATTTTATTTCATTTACAATGCGAGTACAATTTAGAGGTTTTATGTAGCTTTAAATAAATATTTTTTTATTTTTTTTTTTTATTTCCAATGAGCTGCACAATCGGTCTTGCCGATGAGCAGACCTAGAGCGTTCTCCAGAGGTGGTATCCACTCTTTCAGGACCACCACAATGGGTGAGATACCGTTGGTCATGTTGATTTGGACGTCCAGTTTCTGCCACACTAGATGGCAGCACCGAGACTCTATTTTGGATGCTAAAGTGCACTAGGAATTTAATTTTGCCGGAAAATGCCAAGAGCCAATAAGGCACTCCAGGGATCTTTTACTTGCCGCATTAATAAATATTATTATTATTAAAATATTTTGTTGCTAAAATGACTTCTTCACATTTTGTTGTTTTCAAATATAAAATCTCGATTGATATTTTAGGTTGGATGTCTTTAGTAATGAAAGATGGGAAAACTGCTGGATATTTTTCTAGCATTGGAGATGTTTCTAGATCATCTTGGTCTTTATTTCTTGTACAAGATCAAGTTATTGGTCTGAAATCTACACCTGAAGGCCTGCAACGTGCAATTGTAAGTTGCATTATATTATCAGTTTTTGGTCTAATATGAGTTCAACTTTTTTTTCTCTTTTAACAACAATGAAAAGATATGCATTTTATGAAAAATCGTATAAATGTTGTTAGTGATGGCTTTAAAGAGCTTAGAAGTATCTTAAAAGCAATTGTTTCATTTCAGTATATATATAACGTTGTGAAAAATTGAAGGCAAGTAGGTGATTGAACGTAATTTAAAAAACAAACTAAGAAATCAAATTAGCAATAATCAATAGTAAGACATCAAATAAAAAAATAGGAAATTTAGTTAAGTACCATGTCCCGAGTCGTTGCATTATAATATTCAAACTGTTTTTAGTGCTACTTGGCAAATTTCTTTCTAAATTATTACAGAGTTTAATCATTTTTTGCGCTTTGATTTCTTTTTGGACTGTTAAGTAACCAATAAAAATTATGAAATAAGTAAACGTGCGTATAATGAAAGAGAATTTATTCTGCAAGAAAAATGAAAGTTGCGACTAAAAATAATGCTTATTAAAAAAAATAATTATTTTAATTATTATCACGATTAAGTTTCAATTTATAGGTTAAAAAATATCGGAGCGAAGATAATATAATAACAACTATTACTTCTTTTATTAAAAGTTATTGTTATATTATTTTACGATTATTATATTATTTTATGTTTAAAATACTATTATTATAATATTATTATTATTATAATATTATTATAATATCATTATTAAATTAATAATAGCTATTAATTCCTTTTCTTCTTTTTTGTAAGCTTGAAATAAAATAAAGTTTTAAATATAAAAGAAGATAAAATTTAAAAAAAATTACAATTTATCAGGCTTAATTAATTTAAAAATTACAATTATTTTAAATTACAATAATTTACAAATTACAATAATTTACAAATTTAATTACAATTATCTTATATGAAATAACAATTTATCTTAAAAAGGGGTAATTAAGAAATAGATAATAACGGCAAGAGCAATGATTTTACTGACCAAAAGATTTCAAATGCCATTGAATAATTGTTTTATATAAAAAAAATATCATTAAGGAATATTTTTACTACTTTTAAAACTCAAGCAAAAATATCTATTGCAAATATATATTTTTAATTAGTTATTTATGTGTAATTTATATAAGTGACCTTATATAGATTAATAACTTCAATAAATAAAATTGAAATAACTTTAAATATAATAACTTTAATAAATAAAATTGTTTATTATTAAAAAATATGATGAACTTACTGCTTTGGTAAAATACTTGAAAGACTGTTTGATTGAACAACATACTCTAATTTTCAAACTAACTAGAAAAAACTATAAGCTGTTTAGAGTAATGAGCAACTTACAAGCAAAATGATGAAAATTCTAGTTATTTAGAATTTTAGTTATAGCAAGAATCTCTCTTCCTGTTCTTAGAAAGGAAGGGATGTCCTTCTTAGAAAGAGAGGGGTTCTATGGGTAAAAAAAGAAAGGCACGTGTTTCTGTATATGATATGAACAAAAGGTCAGGTGTTGGATTGTTCTGATGTCCTGTTTCTTCCTGGAAGAGACAATTTTTTTTAAATTAAATCACAAATCTTCTCTCAAAATTGATTCAACTTTATGGATGGGCAACAAATTATAATTTTTATTAAACAAATAAATTTTATTAGACAAATAATTTTTATTAAACAAATACTTTTTATTAGCATATATTTTATCATATTATAATACTAAAAAACTGAACAAATAACTTTCATTAAAAAAGCAATAAATATTACATTTTTATTACCGTCGTTGAACAGCCGACCCAATTTTTTGAATTCGCGAATACTAATGTTCAACTCCCATGCCTTGTAATTTTGAACCCAATCCAGAAGACAAGGAAACTCCTGGATCAAGTATTGGGAAAATGTTCTCCTTCGTGGAGGACTTTTTGATGGAACTAACCCACATTTGAGTTACATGGGGAGGAAAACCACGAAAACCTCTCACGGTTAGTCTGATGGCAAGGGGTCTCTAACCCATGATCCGTCTATCTCTGAATTTTACGTCTATCTGATATTTTACGTCAGCGCTGTGGTTGGTGTGAGCCGGGTGCGGAATATGCATCGACCAGTCATCGCTGGGATTCGAACTCGGTTCATCTCATTGGAAGGCGAACGCTCCATCCCATGAGCCACCACGACTCAATAATTTGGCCCATCAGGGGATCGAATAAGTATTACTTATAAAAATCTTTAAAATAAATTTTCTTTCTGTATTATAATTAATTGGAACATTTCGGGGAAGGGGGGTCTGAACCCCTATATCTTTCCTCGCCGGCTACGGTCTGGTACAGGATATTTAATTTTTAAATTCAGGACGCTCTTATTATTTTAACAAAATGACAAAAATGAACAAAATGATATGTATTTGGAAAAAAATAATTCAATGCATTATTAATGTCTTTATATTTTGTAGGTGTATTCAGGAGTTGTTTTAAAAGCTGTTGGAAGTTTTGAAGACCAAAATCGACAATCTCTTATTAAAGACTATAAAGGTTACATTCACCCAGACCTTATGATGTATCTAAAATGCCTAACCCAGAAAGGAGAAATTATATTTCTTCCTTACAGCGCACGAGGAAGATTTTATTGCATATCAACCCCTGAAGCTCATACAATAAATCATGTGTATCTTTTATCCAATTTGCTACGTGTCACTACTTTACCAGCTCTTGTTCGTATCATTGTTGGTCCAAAAGCAAGCGTTGCGTTGCCCTTGACAAATATTCTACAACTTGATGAAATTCGACGTGAGACAATAATTCTTGGTTGTACTATGATTGATAATGAACCAACTCTACTTGAAATAAATGCTAGCTCAGAGTTTTCTTTCATTAGAGTGAAAAACGAAGCAGCCGTTCAGATGTCAGAGGCATATCAACGAATGTGCCATATGTGTGTAACAGAAGGAGACAAATGGCGACAGCAAATACGAGTTGCTCATTATGTAGTACCTAAAAAAGAACCATTTAAAATGATTTCAAAACTTCCATTTATGCCTCCTGGTTTTATTCCATATGGTTCAAATAGACTCCGCTCAAACAAAGAACAAAAACAAATTCTCCCAGAATGTGACTTTATTGACTTTTGTCGGCAATCCGGCCGGGAGAGTATATTTCCTAAAAGATTCTGGATGTTTCGACGATCAAGAAGATATGAACCATCAAAAAGGAGCGAAAGAAGTCATCGAACCAATTTTGATGTCATCAGAGGATATTATACAAAAGGCAAAAGTGGACGTAGTATGATTTTGAATTTGCCCTATCGAAGTTCTTTGAGAATTATTAAAGATACAAAGAAGGATTCGTTAAGACGAACAAGCTCAGATGATGGATATGCTACTTCATTTATGGAAGACGAATCAATATATAATTCAATTTATTAAGCAACATATTATTTATTGAATATATACAACATATTCAATTTATTAAGCAACATGTTATTTGGTGCAATTTTAAAATCCTTTTTCACAAATTTTGTCATGTTTGACATTTCCCTTCTAAGCTTTCATTAAGTTCTCGTATTATTACGGCTCACTTGATGTATAAATGCCACAGCCAGTAGACTGCACAAAAGCCATTGGTTTTTGCTGTTTAGTACTACTGTGCTCCGTCTACAAGCACACTTTTCATTTTGAAAATGTACTTTCTGCATTTATTCATTACATTTTCATATTTGTATATTTTTTGAATAAAATATATTTCAATTTCGTTTCATTTTTGAAAAATCATTTTTGATAAACCAGTGAGCTTCTTACATTTACCTATTAACAGTCAGCGTTCCCATGAAATGTTTTCTAGAAATAAAATACTAGTCATATAGTAGTAATACTAGTAAAACTAGTAAAATACTGTATTATTCTTGAAATTTTTCTGATGGAATTTTTTCTAGAAATAAAATACTAGTCATATACTTCTAATACTAGTAAAACTAGTAAAATACTATATAATACTAATAAAATACTACATCATTCTTCAAATTTTTCTAAGAGAAACAGGACATTTATTTCGTATCATAATATATAAGCAAAATAAATATTTATATTTTGGTCTGAAATTATGTTATTGTGATATCTTGCAACTCATAAAATATAGCCAACACTAAAAAATACCAAATCTAATAATAAACCCATAGTACTTTTTCCGTAAAAGTACTTTAATAACAGCAAACTGGAAAGAGGTTAAAGTTAAATTTTAATGGTACAGTTGTGTAAATGAAAAAAAACAACTTAAATTATACTTATCTCACCTTTATTACTATGTGAAAACTCCACATAGAATTATATAAAATTGTTTGTCGGCTATTACAGGCTAATAAACCAATGCTAAACACTTAACTATTTCCAATTTTGATTAAACTAAGCACATATATACCTGGACTTAGCAAATTTTCTATCCAAACAATTAAAAATTGCGAAAACTAAGGGAGTTTACTAAAGTAACATTTTATTTTTATTGCATTTTTTTTACCGGTCTTAAACAGCAGACTCAATGGTGAGTTTATAACTATCAATATTCAACTCCATAGCCTTGTAATTTTGAATTCTACCCAGAGGATAGGGAAACTCCTGGATCAAAGATTGGGACAAATTAACCTTCATGGGGGCTCGCCTTCCAATCAGGTGAACCGGGTTTGAATCCCCAGCGATGGCTAGTCAAAACTAATCCACACCCGGCTTGCACCGACCACAGTGGTGACGTGAAATATCCTCAGTGGTAGGCGGATCATGGATCAGAGTCCCTTTGCCGTCAGGCTAACCGTGGGAGGTTCTTGTGGTCTTCCTCTCCATGTAACGCAAATGTGGGCTAGTTCCATTAAAAAGTCAAATTTTCCCCAATACTTGATCCAGGAGTTCCCTTGTCTTCTAGATTGGGTTCAAAATTACAAGGCTACGGAGATAAACATTAGTAGTCGGAAACCCAAAAAATTGGGTCGGTTGTTCAACGACGGTTATGATATAAAAATACATTTATCGCCTCACTCTCAGGGAGTATTCTGAAAATTTAAACTCACCGGCGCAGGAGTTTCTGCAGAAGGAACCCAGGATGCGACACCCGAGCCTAGTGGTCCGGCTGGGTCACCGCCCATGGCGTTTTTTAAACCAAAATTTCCTTTTGCAAATACTTGATAACAAGCCCAGTAAAAACATCAAGAATATCTCTTACAGTAAAAGTGCTCTCAAAGTACTATTTCCAATAAACTTCAGCCACGATACAGTGCTCAGAATAATACTTAGATGAACAAAAACAGTAAAAATACAGTGAGAAACCCATATGAAAACAATTAGTAAAATTTTATTTTAAATATATTTCAGCTAAATTACTAGACCCCAACACAATGATTGTTTTGTAATGGCTTCTGTAATTTATACCCCCACACAATTTTTTTCTCCAGAAGGCATAGAATTAACTTTAGAAATATATTTCAGAAACTAAATATTTTTTTGAAGAAAAAATGTATTTAGAGTAATTGTAAAACTTAAATCAAAGTTCTCAAACAGAAATCTTTTATTCATTTGTAAAGATTTACCTATACAGAATGCCTTACTTAATTTTTATTTTGTTAATAGTTTTGGTTGTTGTTGTTAATTTACGTCGTACTAGAGCTGCACAATGGGCTATTGGCGACGGTCTGGGAAACATCCCGGAGGATGATCCGAAGACATGCCATCACAATTTTGATCCTCTGCGGAGGGGATGGCACCCCCGCTTCGATAGCCCGACGACCTACGCGCGAAGTCGAGCACTTTACGGTCGCACAGTTTAACGAGGACCAATACCGCACACCCTCGGTCCTCACGCAGACTGATCCAAGTGGTCACTGACCCGCACACTGACCACAGCCAGTGATGCTTGACTTCGGTGATCTGCTGGGAACCGTGTCTTAACGATCAGTCCACTGCGGGACTAACAGTTTTGGAATCAGCAAAGCTATTGACCTCTTGCCCTCTTAAAACCCTCTTGCATAATATTAAAATTTAAATTATTTTAATATAAATATTTTTTCCAATTGTTGCCAAGTTGAAAGTGAAATTATAATTAAAATGTAATATTACATTACATTACATTAATATTACAAAAGAAATTTTTCAAGATTTTTTATTTTTTTATTTTTTAGAAAGTTAAGTATTTTTATATAATTGAATGCTCGCTAAATAGAAAGTTCCGCTGCGAATAATGTAGCAAGCTCTTATAATAGAAAAATACCTTTTTTGTATCACGCTTTAACAATATTTTCACAATAAAATGAAAGTAAACTTTGAACTGCCTAAATAACATTAAAAAAATAAACATTTCGTGACTGAAACAATAACATTTGCATTGAACTTCTAATTCCTCGAAATCTCTTTGTTCTGATTTTACATCTTTGTTTTAGAGTTAGTTTAAATTAAACTACCAATCAAATATGGGCATAATGCTTAACTTCCAATCAGTTGTGTGCACGTAATAAAACTTCTCACTTACTTAATTTTTTCAGCAAATTTTCACTTTAAATCACATCAATGCTTTAAACTGGAAAGTGTTTTATTTTACGCCATTGATTTTCTGTATTACTTTAGCTTTATATTTCAAACTTCTTTACCTGTGCATCAACATTAACATCTGTAAGTATTTATTTTTTTATTTATGTATATAGTTTTATTTTGCTTTTTTAATGCAAAAAAAGCATACGAACAGGGGTGTTGCCAAAATAAGGGGTACGGATGTCGTAGCTTTCCATGTAGTGTTACGAGAAAATTTGTTAAATTTCTTTTTTACATATATGTTTAGATAGTTTTAACACGACAGTTAAATTCTTTGTACATTTATGTATACTGCTATAAAGTTATAAAAAAAATTTCCAAATTTTTTTTACTTCAAATGAGAGAAAAATTTTCAGAGATTTCATTCCAGGTATTACAAATTAGAAAATACGTACAGTTAATAATTTTCTTCACTATGATTTTTGAAATAACGAAACCTTAATCANCTTGTTTGATATCTGAAAGAAATAGAACTTGAAGGGCGAAATCAGGTTCATCGACCCGTTTCATCAGTTAGTCAAACTGGTTTTGACGTTTTTCCTCCACATTTCTCTCTACAGATTCGACAGATTTCGATGGCGTTTTTAATTCTTCGCTTAAAGTCCCTAGTAATCCCTTTTGTGAATAGTTTTTATATTTATTTTTTGACGAAAGCTTTAAGAATTCATAAAGGTAATGATTAGATTGTATATATATTCAAATTGTTGCTGCTGTAATATATTTGTGCGAAATTCTTTTTGAAAAAGGATGGTTACTCTTCTTTAAAAAGGAAAAAGTGGTAACATGTCAAAAGTGGTGGTGGTATATTTTTTGAATTTATTTGCAGAAACAAGATTGTTCTGTCTACCATTATATATTTATAGTATAAATATTTATATTTGGATTTGAACTCAAGGCATAATACAATTCTGAAGCTAAAGTGATAGGTAAGAGATGAAAGTATTTACTTAGCATAAACAAATATGTACTACCCCTTTTGTCATGCAGATGTTTTTCATATATAGGTTACTTTTGTTTTTTGGGTATTAATGGGGTTAAAATAATTGTAAATAAAGCTTAAATCTGCTACCACTTTAAAAACTTAAGATAAATAACTCGTTAAAAATGAAAAGATTTCTGTTTGTAACCGGGAATACAAGTGATGCCATTTTAACCAATTAATACATGGGCACATAAAGTGATCTATGCATGAAAAACAGTTAGTATATGAAAAGGTGGATATTTTCTTCTGTTATCTACAGCTTTAGATTAAGAAAGCAATGTGCATTGATATCAGACACGGATATAAGTATTTACATTATTAATTCATGGATTCCAATTGTTCCATTCACTGCGAAATTTTTTGTGAGCTAGAGTATTCAATATTTCAAATTTTTTAAATAATGTTTGTTTCTGAAAACTCTTTGAAAACTTCATCACTAGGTCATTGGAACCAAGCAGCATTTTATATAAATGTTTGTTGCTGTTGTCGTCGGCCATTAAAGCAGAAGGGGTGCTATTGTTCTTGTTTTCCAGTGGACCAAGAATTCTATGGCCAAGAATTTAACTTCCGCCACACCGTTTCATAGGGCAAACCTATTCATACATCATTCATTTACCCACAGATCGTAATCTTGACCTGAACCAGAAAATTATCAATCTCCAATTCAGTAATTCATTTTTTTAAGAAAAAATTCGTAATCACCTGATATTTTTATGTTTTGAATCAAATGCTAGTAAAACATTTAAAAAAAAAAAAAGGATAAATCATCTTTGTTAAAAAAGCTGGGTTGCTACAACCTGGAAAAAGACAAACAAGTGGTAGCAAAGTTCCCTAAAAACAATTAAGAAATTTTAAAACTAGCTTCCACTTAAAGACGCATCATAAAAACATTACTTTCGTCATCATCATTCACATTTATCTAGGTGACTGAGGCTGTTTACTGCCCTTTTTCCATCCGTCTTGTAAATAGTGACATTGAGGTGACTCTTTCTAGTGACTGCAATACAAATTGAAATGAAAAGGTAGGTAGGTACTTTATTTGAGTAGTACTAGTTGCACAATGAGCTATTGGCGACGGTCTGGGAAACATCCTTGAGAATAATCCAAAGACATGCCATCGCAATTCTGATCCCTTGCAGAAGGGATGGCTCCCCTACTGTGGTAGCCCGACGACCTGCGAGCGAAGTCGAGCAC